TCACATTGTAATCTCGTGGATATAGGCATCTTTCCAAATCACGTATATAGTTGTTTCCCTTGTGCGATTGCTTGCATTCTCTTTCTCTTATTTCTCTTGATTTGTCGAACGGGTTATACCAGAAACAATACTTGTATGATATGTACGAAATGTATGGATGAATGACCCACAAATTAGTCGTCAAAAAAATTTTGGGAAGGGGGGGGGGGGGGGGGAGTTACGCCCTTAACCCCTATCCCCTAAACTCCCAAAATATTTCATACCCCTAATCATTTTACACAATTTAATTAATAATTACTAATATTTCCAATCAATTAAAATGTTGTAGCACCCTAGACTTTTCCATACTTAATAAATAGCACTTTCGTTGCCAATTGGCCTTTCACGTGGTCTAATTAATAAATAAATGAGAAATTGAAAATTCGGAAACGTCAGAAATGTTCATTTTCGAAAGACGAATCCAACACAAGTTGAATCGTCAAAATCTAACTAACGAGTCAAAAGATAAGGCCAAAAGACCTAAGTGAAAAAATTGAGGAAAATCAGCAAAATAGGCAAAACACAGACCAACCAGTCGACCGCTCCATCCACCGGTCGACCCGTAGCCCACCGGTCGACCACTATCGCACTAATTTTGTATGGGAGATTTTTCCAGAGAGGAGGTTTTGGATCGATCGACCGCTCCAGTCAATCGATCGACCGCTCCTATGACCGGTAGACTGCTCCTCGAGTACTTTGCCTATTTGATCTGTTTTAGCCGAGATTTTAAGGATAGGATGGTCATTTGACCACCCCACTTTCTATAAAACCCCAAAATCCGTGGGTGAGGGTTTCATAAACCCTCAAGGCTTGTATTGGGAGATTAGAGAAGGGAGAGAAAGGAAGAGCTAGGGTTTTGCTCAAACTCATCTCAAGCAAGGATTTTTCTACTCAAAGGATCTAATCTCATCTTCCCTCAAGTTCTCCTCTAAGTTTAAAGGTTAGTACACCCTACTAACTCCCATTAGCAATAACCTAGATCTTTCCTCTTGAAAATCATGACTTTTGATATTGTATTTCTTCTTCTATTGAAAGGTATCATTTTCCTTAAATCCCTAAATATAAACAAGATAGAATCAAAGGTATGGATGTGTGGGTGAAATGGTGTTTGAGGCGATTGGATGCCATATGGATGTTGTGTGATGTGTGAAATGAGAAATGATGGATGGGCATTTTACGAATAATGAACTACCTTGATAATGTGATGGAAAATATGTACTAAAAAAGAGGGAATGGAAGGACTAAGAAACATTGAACACCGTGTGTTTGATAAAATGACTAAACAAGGGATAAATTGATTTGAGGAAGATAAATAGAAATAGGAATGGTGTAACTTTTCTTATAATTGATCAATTGCTCAAATGTACTATATGTTGCCTAACTTGTCATACGATTATGCTAGAAATCAAAATGCTATATTCATGTGTTCCTCCCATTCAAACATGTCATCATGGTTACCACTATTGACAAGCACACAAGCACGCATGCATGCATGAACCGGGTTTTTCAAGAGCATTTGTACATAATAAATCAATCAAGAAAACAAGCATATGTCAAGGAGGTTGGTAGCCCAAGTGAAGGGTACTAGCATCTGGTTCACAAGAAAATGAAACAAGACAAGGAGGTTGGTAGCCCAAGTGAAGGGTGCTAGCCTCTGGCTCACAAGTAAATGAAAGGAAATGGAATGTCAAGGAGGTTGGTAGCCCAAGTGAAGGGTGTTAGCCTCTAGTTCACAAGTGAAAGGAAATAAGTACATGTCAAAGAGGTTGGTAGCCCAAGAAGGGTGCTAGGCTCTGGCTCACAAGAAAAGTAAATGTCAAGAAGGTTGGTAACCCAGGGATGTGCGGGTGCTAGCCTCTGGCTCACAAGTATACAAGGCAAGAATGAAACAAGAACAAAGCACAAATGCATGATTTTCACAAGCAAGACCGAGACATGAAAGAGGTTTCCGAATATGAGTTTTACCGAGGTTTTCGCATTCATGCACGCATGTCAAGATAATTATATTGCTTTCTGTTCCATGCTAGTTATCTTATGCTTCTAGTATTACTTTAAATCAATATTTTGTATTGTGTTCACTGTTGTTATGTTATTGCTATTGCTATGGTTAGCTAGTAGCTTGTACTGGCTGAGTATTTCATGCTCAGACGTACTTTTATGTGGGCAGGTTCCGTGGATGTCCTTGACCCTGAGCCTTGGGTCGAGGAGAGGTACGTAGAGGAGAGGGAGCCATCCATCCCGTTACAGTCGCAAGCGGATAAAGACATCGACGTGTAGCCGTACCTCGACTACTATTGAGGGAAGAGTATGAGAGAGTTCCTTTTGTGTATTTGTATATTTTGATAGGTGGACATGTCCACCTTTACCTTGTTATGTTTTGTATATATATTCACTTGGGATACAGACCACCTTATATAGAAAAGAAATTTTTGGTATACGCTTCCGCATTCATGATATAGCTTCCGCACTCTGATTCATATTATATTATGGTATGTGTACCTTGTTCATCACAGGATGGTTTGGCAGGTACGAACAGTCACCTCTAAAGTATCCTTTAACTCGTAAGGGGTATTTTGGGGTGCGACAAATGTGCACCTACAATAAAAAATTTAGGTCCTACAATAAAATTTTAGCTCTGCCCCTGCTAACGATGGACTCATTAGGAACTGTTTCTCTTGGCCTCATTGGCATTACAAGCTTGGTCGTACATTGGCACAACACAACCTTTATAGGTTAGGAATAGGGATGGTTATTGAACAAAATGTTCGTGAACTACTCGGGCTCAGCTCGTTAAAAGATCAAATATCGTTCATTATTTAGTAAACGAGCCGAGCTTGAACACCGTTTTCGAACTCGTTTAATAAACGAGCCGAGCTTAAACGCACCCTGCTCGGCTCGATAAAAGCTCGGTTCGATTATATATACATATTAACCTACTAAAATATTTAAAATATACTTATTTTATTTAAATATTAAAATTAAATATATGTATTATATACTAGCAAAGATTATTAGTATATAATGTATTTTATATGATAAGAATACCCTTTATATAATTATAATCTTATACTAAAATTTTAGTTAATACCGTGATTTCTTTGCCTAGGATAATAAAGTGAATTTTTTACCTAATATAAATAGCTATATCCAATAAAACAAGCTGCCCGTGAACTACTCGAGCTTGGCTCGGGTTCAGCTAGTAAAGCTCGAGCTCATTTATTTAATAAACGAGTCAAGCTTGAACATGATTTCTGAGCTCGTTTAATAAACAAACAAGCTTGAACACACCACTACTCGGCTCGGCTCGGCTCGGTAACACCCCTAGTTAGGAATGTTGAGATAAGTGGTGCATTGCAATAGCATGCTTTTATGTATTTAGATTTTATCGGCGTATTAGAGAGAGAATAAGAAAAATCTTGCTAGGAAGGGCACCAAATGGGGTTGACTGCAAGTCTTGAAAGAAACCATATTTTTAAAAATTGTGAGAGCTTTAACCAGAGAAGAATGTTACTACTCTCATAATTCAAAAAATATTTAGAAGCCAAGAGTATTGTTTCTTGGAAAGTGATAATTGGAAAGTGATAAAAAAAAAAACTCTCCATGGTACCTACTATTGAGAGTTTGACCATTGGATTAAAAATCTAATGGTGTGGATGGGGCCCACTTTGTATGTGACACCCTTAGAATAAAAATCCAAAGGTTCAGATCTCGAGAGTTTTTAATCACTTGCCTTGTTTCTTTCTCCTTCCTTTTTAAAGTTGCTGCTTGAACCATTTTTTTTTTTTAAAAGGGCAGTGATTAGCCCGCAGACAATTGATTAATGTAGTCAAATACCATGTCCACATGTCCCTTTTCAACACCAATTTAATTATAGTTGAGCTCAAGAAAATTAAGGATAACATTTTTATTTTTTTCTTTCTAATAAACAAGGTTAGATTGCTTAATAATAAAAGTGAGTGAATCTTAACAGTTGATGGTTGTTAAAAAGAGGGTATGGACCGATGAGGGCCGCACATTCCACTACATAGTGGAATGCGGCGCTAAGTTAATTAAACACAACCACTTATATCTTTACTGAGAGAGGCTAGCGTTCCAATTATATTAGTTTTGAGCAGCTCATCGCAATTTCAAGAAATTGTGGCTTCTTTTAAGACTTCAGCTCAACACAATACAGGACTCCAACGGACCCGACTAGAGGCCAGGGGGTCGATTGAGGAGAAGGCACAACACTTAACAAGGGCCTCGAGAGGCTAATATTAAGAGCACATTGGGCTAAATTGTGGGGGCAACAAATTGGCGGCTCGGTCTATGAATTAACTTAAATTCAATCTGGTCACAATGACCCTTCAACAGCAAAATGTTCACGATAATGGTGGAGATTAGTTAGTTCTGCTGATCCATATCGCCAGTGGAGATTAGTAGTGTTGCTGATCCATATCGCCAAGAATGAGTTCGACAATGCCTCTGCAATCGCATTCCACGAATATATTCAGCCAACCTTTAGATATGGCAATTTTAAGCCCAAGACAAATGGCCTCTAACTCCACAACTTTGGCTGAGCCACGGACTAAGGGCTGGGCAATCGAAGCAAGAATTACACCATTGTGGTTCCGGGCCACCGCACTTGCTCTGCTCTGGCTAAGCCACCGAAAAGGGGCTGGGCAATCGAAGCAAGAATGGCACCATCGTGGTTCCTGGCCACCACACTTGCTCTGGCCGAGCCACCAACAAGGGGTTTGGCAATCGAAGCAAGCGGAAACAAGCCTTTTTTAAGGATGAATTTTGCTTAACATATTGATTTCTATACTTTCACCATTTTTTTATAGAAACAAAAGGAGTGCTAGCACAGACTCATATTATTTAAAAAAAAATCCAAACAATTGGGTGAGAGAAATACGTGTCGTTGCAATCCTTCAACATAATAAAGAAATATCATTTTACAAAGGAGAAAGTTATGGTAGGGGTAAAACACAAGGACTTCCCAGGAGGTCACCCATCCTAGTACTACTCTCGTCCAAGTAGACTTAACTGAGGAGTTTTGATAGGATCTGGTGTGCTAATTAGTGCTGGTATGATCGTACCCGAAAGTTATGGGTTTAACAAGTTAAAAAACTAGCCACACATGTTACTACTAGCTTTTAAGGCTAACATTTCTCATAAAAATAAAGGGGAATGTTTAGACTGTGCATTTTGCTGTGTAGCAAAATAGGCGAGTCCTTATTAATTCATGCCCCTTTTAACACCCATTAACTATGATTAAAATTTACTCACCTTTAGAGTTCATCCGTCGAACCTTGGACTTAAAAAAATATATTTAAACTTTAATTTAGTTAAAATTAACCGTAGTTTATATAAGTTAAAAAGGATGTGAGGATACGGCAGTCAACTAGGCAGGGAAATGTGGTCAACTAATCATTGCTCTAATCTAAACATATAGGATCACAACCAATAGCAATTGAATTCAATTGCATATGTGGCAGATGTTGATTGCAAGATTAAAAAAAATTCAAAATTTTGAATGGAAAGTGATTAAAAACTATAGATAGTACCATCGAGAGTTGAGCCATCTAATTTAAAATCTAACAGCACCAAACATAATGTGGGGTCCACCATTCAATTCATAAGAGCCTTGGTGCTGTTAGATTTTCATAATTTGTGATTTGTAAGGATGTGAGCCATCTAATTTTAGAAAAGCAAATTTTGGATTTTATAAGTCTCTGGAACGCATCCTTGGGAAATCTAAATATTGGTTTAAGCCTTCTAGAGAATGTCCTATCAAAGATACGTTAAAGAAACGAGGACTTTTCATAATTTGTGATTTGTAAGTAGTCGTTTATGCAAAATTTTCCACCCGCTTTAGCTTTCCTTGGGCCCTCCATCTCCAATGGTCCAGGGGTGATGGGAAAAAAATAAAAAATAGAATAATCAAATAGACCTTCACTCAATTGGAAGGCAATATACACTTTACATAACAAAATAGGCGATCCTTATTAATTCGTGCCCCTTTTTACACCCATTAACTATGATTAAAATTTACTCACCTTTAGAGTTCATCCGTCGAACCTTGGATTTAAAAAAATATATTTAAACTTTAATTTAGTTAAAATTAACCGTAGTTTATATAAGTTAAAAAGGATGTGAGGATACGGCAGTCAACTAGGCAGGGAAATGTGGTCAACTAATCATTGCTCTAATCTAAACATATAGGATCACAACCAATAGCAATTGAATTCAATTGCATATGTGGCAGATGTTGATTGCAAGATTAAAAAAAATTCAAAATTTTGAATGGAAAGTGATTAAAAACTATAGATAGTACTATCGAGAGTTGAGCCATCTAATTTAAAATCTAACAGCACCAAACATAATGTGGGGTCCACCATTCAATTCATAAGAGCCTTGGTGCTGTTAGATTTTCATAATTTGTGATTTGTAAGGATGTGAGCCATCTAATTTTAGAAAAGCAAATTTTGGATTTTACAAGTCTCTAGAACGCATCCTTTTTGGGAAATCTAAATATTGGTCTAAGCCTTCTAGAGAACGTCCTGTCAAAGATACGTTAAAGAAACGAGGACTTTTCATAATTTGTGATTTGTAAGTAGTCGTTTATGCAAAATTTTCCACCCGCTTTAGCTTTCCTTGGGCCCTCCATCCCCAATGGTCCAGGGCTGATGGGAAAAAAATAAAAAATAGAATAATCAAATAGACCTTCACTCAATTGGAAGGCAATATACACTTTACATAACAAAATAGGCGATCCTTATTAATTCGTGCCCCTTTTTACACCCATTAACTATGATTAAAATTTACTCACCTTTAGAGTTCATCCGTCGAACCTTGGATTTAAAAAAATATATTTAAACTTTAATTTAGTTAAAATTAACCGTAGTTTATATAAGTTAAAAAGGATGTGAGGATACGGCAGTCAACTAGGCAGGGAAATGTGGTCAACTAATCATTGCTCTAATCTAAACATATAGGATCACAACCAATAGCAATTGAATTCAATTGCATATGTGGCAGATGTTGATTGGAAGATTAAAAAAAATTCAAAATTTTGAATGGAAAGTGATTAAAAACTATAGATAGTACCATCGAGAGTTGAGCCATCTAATTTAAAATCTAACAGCACCAAACATAATGTGGGGTCCACCATTCAATTCATAAGAGCCTTGGTGCTGTTAGATTTTCAAGCGGATGGCCCAGCTCTCGATCTCGAAAGTACATACTATGGAGAGTTTTTAATCACTTTCCATTCAAAATTTTGAATATTTTTTATCTTCTAATCAACATATACCACATATTCTCTTGAATTCAATTGTAATCAACCGTGATCATAATCTAAACAACTTGGTATAACTGAGGCAAAAATATTGATTTCAGATTAACAATGAACAGAGCTTCGGTTGAATAGTTAACTTGAGCAACCCAAAAATTGTCTTATGAAGTGATAGTTTAGTAATTATGGACACAAAGTAGGATATTTTTTAACCGTATGAATTTTCATATATACCCCTTGTAAGCACCCTATTTTTACATCTCTCATCTAACCATGGTTAATGAATTTAACCATGGTTTACTCCACCAAACCCTAGGACAAACCCTAGATCAAGTCCAAACCCATGACCCTTTAGGCCTAGCCCAAGTCCTTTTTAATTAATACTAAATCCCCAAATAATTTAAACACTAAAAGCCCATGCCTCAAGGCCCAAGCCCATACCAAAAAAAAGACCTTTAGTCCATACCCATGACCCATGACCCATGACCGATGACCCATGACCCAAGAACCAAAACCCCTTTCTTCTTTCTTGCTTACCCGTACTTGTATTTCTTGAAATCCAGCTTCTTGCACAAGAGTGGAAAGGGCACAGGTCTGCCCCCTGCCCCCGCCTGCCTCCATGGTCTCCTTCCCGCTCACCGCTCCCCCAGTTCAAAGTTCAAATTTCAAAAGAACCCTACCTTCCTCTTTAAATAGAGATCATCCCCAGGGAAAACCAGAGAATCAAAGGGGGATCCATCTCTATTCGGTTGAGAGCAGCAACTCCACTCACCACATTTCTATCAAGCTCTCTCTCTCTCACTCTCACTCTCTCCATTCTTCCACTTTCTTTTTCTTAGGTTTCATGGATTCCTAAGAACCAAACCCCATTATCATCTCTCTCCCCAACAAAAAAAAAACCAGCCCTCTCAAGCTCTCCTTCAAGTTCACGACACCACCGCCAACTCAGCAGCTCCAGCCCCTTATCTTCAATGACAACGGGAGCAACCTCCTATTGCAGCCCCAGTAGCTACCTGTAGAGAAAGAAGGAAGAGCGGGGAAGACCACATCTTCCTTGCAGCAGCAACACCAACCCGTCATCTCCAATCCGCACCAGTGACCGCACACCAGTTGCAGCAGCGACGCAGAGCCACCATCGTCTTGTTCATGCCCCTAAATTACCCCTGCAACAGCCCCTAAATCAATCCCAACACCTCCTCATTACAGCCCCAGAACAGCCCCTGGTTTGCTCTCAAACTCACCCTAACAGCCCCTGTTCACACCCCAGTTCAGCCCCTGTTCATGCTCCCATTACAGCATCCACGCGCACCCAAATCCATTCCAAACCAACAACTTACTACCCCCAGACACGGCTACCAATAGCCACGAGCAGCACTGGTAGTAGCAGCTCCAGGCCAGCTGAAGCGTAACAGGTCAGATCCATCCGCCCATTCTTTTATTTTTTGTTAATAAATCTCAATTTATTTATGTTAGTTTTCAGATTTTAGATTATTAGTGAGTTAGTGTAAAACCCATTAAGCAAGTGAGTATACAATTTGTGCTAAAATGCTGTTTTTATATATATTAGATTAGTTTAAATGTTGGATTAGTTTCAAATCTGAGTTCATTAGGTAGATCAGTCTTTTTTTTTGATAGTTTTAAAATCCCTTTTAGATTATGAAATTTGATAGTTAAGCTCATGATTAGACTTAGATTAAAATTCTGAAATCTGTTGGTTCAATCTATGTTTTAGTTGGTTTGTTTAGCTACTTAAAAACCTCATTCTAGTTTTATGTTTAAAATTAGTTCCTAGTTTTGTTTTAAGTAGATATTGTTCTTACTTTAGTAGTCTAGATTTTAGGTTATCCTAGTATTTAGATTAGATAAAAATCTGCATTCCAGTTAGTAGGTTGGTGTTAAGCTTGTTAGCAAACCCATAGTTAAATCCGTTAGTGTCAAGATGTGCAAATAGGTTAGTTGGTTAGATTTCTTTAGGTTAGCTTTAAACAACTTCTAGCTTAGTTTAGTTTAGCTTAAAAAGAATGTGATTCGTTTAGTTTTGTTTGAAATTGTATTTTAGTTTAGTTCCAATTAGTTTAGAACTTGACTTCTAGGTTAGTTTTAATTGCATAGGTCTTGTTAATCTTAGTTAATTAAAATTCTTCTTTAGAGTAATCTCCAAATATATTTTAGAATCATTCAAGGAGAAATTAATCCTAGGTTAGACTTAAGCTAGTTACAATCTTCATTGTTAAGACTAGGAATAGTTTTGTGCATTTAGTTTAAAAATCTGGTTATAGGGTCTAAGATTAGGTTAAAATGCTTTGTTAGTTTGAGATCGTCGTAGGTTAAGTTCTAATTCGGATGTTTAGAGATAAGTTAGGATTAAAACTAGAATTAGGACAATTCTTGGTAAATTAGATTAACTCTAGAAAAACCTTGAATAACCATGGTTAGTTTAAGCTCGTTGCTCCGCAACGAGCCTAAACTACTATTCAAAAAATCCAAAAAAAATTGAAAAACAATCAAAAATACAAAAATAATACAAAATCAAAAAGACCAAAAAAGGACCAAAACATACTTGCTTGCTTGCTTTCTTAATTGTGGTTAGGCTCCCTAATCACAGTTAATACCCTTCTAACTACGGTTAGACCATACTTTGCACTTGACCAACCCGGTCAGTCAAACCTTAGCCTCCGGGCTAGACCTTTGACCACCCTCTTGCACACACACACCCCCCCTAGCCCTGGCACGGGCTCATGTGCCAGAACTACGCTCGGTCTGATCTCACCCCGATGTGAGTACGTAGGCAATCCAACTC